CCTGTTCCCTTTGCTCTGTCTTTCCCAGCTGACATCACACATGCATTATGCGCTGTTCTCGTTTTCCCCACCCAGAATCAGCTCAGCTCCAGCACTGTGGGAGTACTCTGAACCTGCCAGTTGGAGCTGGCTCTGTTCCCACAGTGATTGTATGATGATTATTCCCACTTCGAGTCCTGTGAGCAGATGGTAGGGACTGTTCATCCCAGTTACACCAGCAACACTTTAGAAATCAAATCATACTTTTAAAAAGACTTATTTATCTGAAAGGCAGAGTTACACAAACAGAAAGGGAAACACACAGAGAGAGAAGCATTTTCCATTTTCTATCCTCTAACTCAAAATTGCCAAAATAGCCAGGCTGGTCTCCCATGTGGGTGGCAGGGGCCCAGGCACCTGTGCCATCCTCTGCTGCTTTCACAGGTGCATTAGCAGGGAGCTGGGTCAGGAGTGAAGCAGCTGCTACGCATGCCTGGCCCATAGGGATGCGGGCATGGCAGGTGGGGATTTGACTTGATGCTGCACAATGCCAGCCCGTGAAATCACATCACACTGGGTACTGTCTGTTGAATGCGATGGAGCCTTTTACACTTCCTGTTGCTATATCTTACATGTAAAGATTCAGAAGCAGTAGACAACAAAGAGATGGAAATTCTAAAAGATTTTAATTTTCACATAAAGAAACTCTTTGGAGTTTTTTATGCTTAGTCTCTGTTCAAGAAAATTGACCTGGAGAGATGAAAGGAGAAGTTTGGCTCTGCTAGCCTTCTGCCTGAGCAAAAACCACAGCTCTTCCTCCTGCTCAGACTGTGCCAGGCCACGGCTTGTTGGCTGCAGCTTTCTTAACACATCTGTGAACGTGCTGCCGGTTACCAGGAGGGCAGAAGATGAGATGGATACAGATCAGAATCTTCCTTGTCCGCATTCACCTGCATGGTCTGAGTATTTACAGCAGCTGCTCGAGCACCTAAAGTGTTCTTTCATTATTTAAACTCACCTGGGAATCAAAGTTGTGCCCCAGAATATTTTATGTGCCATCTTGTTGGTCCATTCACTTTCTGGCCTGGAAGGGTTTTTTGCGTGTTTTCTTTATGTCAAAACCTGCTACATTCACATTCATTTTTAGGTTTGTGGTCTGTAGAAACCCAGTTCTTTAGAGGCAAAATGAAAAGTTTGAAGTTGAGGCTCTCTAAGACCACTCTGGCAGCATTTTATTCTCTGAGTAAGGATGAATTTTTATTACTTAAGCTATCTTTTTTTATTTTTTAAAGATTTGTTTATTTGGAAGTCAGAGTTACAAAGATGCACAGAGAACTTGTGTGTGAGCGATCATCTGCTGATTCACTCCCCAAATGGCTGTGATAACCAGGGCTGGGCCAGACCAAAGCCTGAAGCCTAGAATTCCATCTGAATCTCCCATGTAGATGATAGGGCCCCAAGCTTTCCAGCCATCCTCCACTGCTTTCCCAGGAGCATTAGCAAGAAATGGATCAGAAGAAGGATCCATCATCACAAGTTGCAGCTTAACCCGCTGCTCCACAATGCCAGCCCCTCTGACAGGTGTGGGTTGGGTTGGTTTGTTTTGTTTTTGTGGATTTATGCTATGTATTTGAAAGGTAGAGCTACAGGGGCAGAGAGAAAGAGGGATGGGGAGAGGGAAGGAGAGGAGCGAGAAGAGGAAAGGAGAAAGAAAGGGAGTGAGGTCTTTCGTCCATTGGTTCACTCCCTAAATGATCACAACGACTGGAGCTGAGCCTGTCCAAAGCTAGGAGCTAAGAACTGATAGCTTCTTCCAGGTCTCTCACATGGGTGCAGAGGCTCAAGCACTCGGGCCGTCTCCTGCTTGCCTGGGCACTTCAGGGATCTGGATCAGAAGTAGAGCTGCCCACGCCTGAACTGGTGCCCATGTGGAACACCAGCCCTGCGAGCCCTAGTCCAATGTGCTACATCCCAGCACTAGCCTCTTCTCTGCCAGATTTTTTTTTAAAGGAATTTGTTACTGTATTTTGTTTGTGTAATAATTTGTTTTGATCCAGGATCAGAGGCCTAGTCTTCAGTGGTTTGTGTTTAGATTATTTGGGCAGCAAAAAATTATCCTTAGCAATGACAAATGGGTAGCAATGTGTAAGTTTCCTTTGAAAGAGAGATTTAGGGGACTCACGCCTGAAGTGCCTGGTTTGAAGTTATGTAACCGTAGGTAGCTCTCACTGTGTTGTTCACAGGACAGGTAGAAGACTTTGTCGCCTCGTGCAGCAGTTCATGTTAGAAAGTTAGAAAACAGGTATAAAGCCAAGCATAGTTTTACTTTGCAAAAAAAGATATATGGCAAAAAATGAGATGTTAATTTAAAATTTGTTAAGAAATACAGATAATGTGAAGAAGAAATTTTCAATCTCTTGTAGAAGTAACCTATGATTACTATCTGTTGCCTTTCCCAATTTTTGTGCTTATAAGATTAAAAATCACATTGGATATTTAGTTTTATACCTTGATTTGCAGTTTCATATTATTTTTCTGTGTTGTAAAGTTCTTTTTTGTAACATAATTCACACTTTTAGTTAATCTTGAGAAAATCTTTGAATATTTTGGTTATTTCTTATTTGTACTATTATAAGTAGTGCTATTGTGAACCTAAGTCCTTCATTAAGATATATACTGAGAAATTGATTTACTGGATCTTATCTTAATACATACTCATCTTAATACATTTTCTGTTGTTTTTGTTTCGTGCTGCTATGCGACCTGAAAAACAGATTGAGTAGTTTATAAAGAACAGAGATTTACTTTCATATTAAAAAAAAAAATAGGAGTGCTTTTTGTGAAGAGCCTGGGCCATCATTTGCTACCTTCACAGAGGCACTGGCACTGGGATGGCTGGAAGTGGAGCAGCCAGGACTTGAACTGGTGCTGCATGGATGTGGTTTTGCAGGCGGTACTTTCTCTGTTACACCACAGGGCCAGCTCTACTTTTGCAGTTTAGAGGCCAGGAAATTGCAAGGTCAAGGGGTTCGTGTGTGTCATCCATGGCAGAACGTCAAGAGGTACAGGTGAAGGAGAGCCCAAACCCATCTGCTTGTCTGTAACTCCTCCTTACAGACCAGCATTAGTGCATTCCAGTGAGGGCAGGGTCCTCACGACCTAGCATCTCTTAGAGTGAGTATCCTCAGCATTGCTTCCAGTGGCTGGTTATCAACACTATTGCATTGGGAATCAAGTTTCCAACAGGTGATTTTGGGGCATGCGTTCTGAACCACTGCAGCCATATATTGGCAAGTGACCTCCCAGAAAGTCTTTATAAAACCCCACTCCTCATAGCAGTGGAATGCTCATTTCATCCATCCTGCCCGTGCTGAGTGTTGTGGTGTAAATAGTTTTTGTCTTTGTATTTTCATTCAATGGGAGCATGAGAGAGAGAGAGACAGACAGACAGACTCCAGACTGGTCAGGCTAGAACCAGAAGCGCCAGCCATGTCTCCCTTGTAGATGCAGGTTCTCAAATACTTAGAGCATCTGCTGCTTAACCAGGAGAGTTGTCATGGAGCTGGATTGGAAGCACAGCAGCTGGGACACGAGCCAGTTTTACAGGCAGCATCTTTAGCTGCCATGCCACCGCTAGGACCCATAGTACTAATTCTTGACTGATACACCCTTAGACTTACCCTTGGTTTATACTGTCATCTCCAAGTATTTGTGTGTGAATTCACTAGCATACAGACAGGTGTACATTTTTATATATGTATATGTGCAAATTCATTGTATCTCACGATTGTTTAATTGCAAAACACAGTGTGTGACTTTTTAAAAACTATAAAAGAACTTTCCTGTGAATATGTTAAAAAAAAAAAAGCACTGAATTTTCACTTAAAAGGGGATAAATTTCCTGGCATGTGGGTTATCTCCATAAAACTTATTTAATTTTTAAACAATAACTCGGTATTTAAGAGAATGTTTTTGCTGATTATAGAAGCAGTACATTTGTGTATTGTGAGAAAGTGGAAAGCATGCTGGAGTTGGGAGAAGGGGCAACCCAGGGGCATGTCTGTGCGTTTCTGCACGTGCGTCCACGGCGGGCACTGCCCTGAGACTGTCGGCCGCTGGGGCTGCTGTTGCCTATCCTTTTTTCACCCACATTTTGTATTATTTTTCTTATCAAAAAGATGAGATAATTTTGGGTTTTAGCATTATGCATCATTTGTTTTCACTTAGTTTTGTAACTGTTTTAAATGTTGCCCTAAACCCATTATAAGCCTTTTAACGGCTTGCAATGCCACTGTGGTTGGGTAACAGCCAGAAAGCTCACCCTGTATGGCAGATACATCAAAGGCTCTGGCTGCTGAGTCGGAACTGTAGCACAACAGATTAGGACACCTCCTGTGAGGCCAGCATCCCTCAGAAGCCACAGTTTGGGTCCTGGCTGCTTCACTTTCCATCTGGTTCTCTGCTAATGTGCCTGGGAAAGCAGTGGAAGATGGTTAAGTTGGTTCACTCCCCCAAATGACTGCAATGGCCACGGTAGGGCCAGGCTAAAGCCAGGAGCAGCAGCTTCATCTGGGACTCCCACTGGGTGCAGGGCCCAAGCATTTAGGTTGTCCTCCACTGCTTTCCAAGGCTTAATAAGGAGAGAGCTGGATTGGCAGTGGAGTGCTCAGCTCTCAGTCTGGCACTGAAGGCTGCAGCTTAACCTACTGTGCCATAGCACTAGCTCCATGCTGTAATGTAAAAACTGAAAAACTCTGTTCTTTATAAAAACTCTGTTCTTTATTTGTCACAGATATTTTTGCTTCACTAGTCACATTTAAATTCAATTATTTTTAATGTTCTAACTTATTTCCGGTTTAAACTTGTTCAAAAAGAACTGGGTAGTTGGACAAGTTGAAATTCTTGGTTTCATAGAAACTACTCCCTTTACACATGATTCAGATTTTAAGAGTTCTATGTAACAGACATTTTAGTTGAAGTGTAAAAAATTGAACTTTTTTCTTTCTGTTTGTGTTTTTCAGAGTTTGTTATTTCATATACTTTCAGCATTCAGTTTCAATATAAAGGAGGTTGGTCTTTTCGCTCAAGGCCTTGGGCATGAGCCTGTAGATTGCTATCCTGGTTTGCTTAGAAATGTGAGTATTTTAAATTTATTAGTATTGAGATTTTCATTGCTGAACGTACCATCAGTAAAAAGGATAAATGGAAATATTTCACTCCTCTGTGAGGGATGTTTAACTTTGCTTTGTTTATCTCTTCTTACCTTGGGTGTAGTTATGGCCATGTAAGGAAGAAATGTGAGATGGGAGGTCATGGGAACGAAGAAGGCAACCCAGGAAGGTTCCAGTCCACCCACCTATCGACCCCTCTCCCGTAATGCGTCTCACTCACTCACTCCCGAGGTTTTTGTTAGCACAGCTTTTGTTCTAGTTTAAACACAGTCTTGTACTGTTGAACAAATCCTGTGTTTAAAATGACATGATTAGAATTTGATGTTAAAACAAAGCAGAAAATTCACTGAGCAGCCTTGTATTACCTATTTACATCTTAGTTTTTAAGCTGTCTCTGCTTCCCTTAACTTCTAGCCAAATTCAAGATATTTTAATTTATTATGTTTGCAGAGCTCTTTTAAAAAACGTTATGAAATTTTAGTGGTTGTTAAGCATCCTGGTCTTTTGGAGATTTGATGCAAGAGAAGCAATTTTGAAAATAAGGACCCAGGAAAGAAGAAATCAACTTTTCACATGTTCAGTTTTGAATGGGGTTGGCTTTCATTCTTAGGAAATTAGCGACCATTAGACATAAAATCCCACTTATTAGTAAATGTGGACAAAGTGAAACCTAAGGAGAGCGCGGGCTGGGGGCAGGGGGAGGATCTCAGCGGAAATATCACTCACCCCAAGAAAAATAGAACTGATGTAATCCTGTTTGCAGTGGGAGTTAACCTGCAACTGATTTTGTTTTACAGCTGGTTTTATCATTAGTGTCGGAACTCAGAGAGAATCATCTTAATGGATTTAACACTCAAAGGCGGTAGGTGTTAAACTAAACATCCCACTTCTCGAGTTTCAAAATGTATCAGTTCAATTGTGAGGAAAAGATCTTGTCTAATTCATAAGAAATGCATTTTCATAGTTAGGGTTATCTTCTGCGTCGAGAGATTATTTCAGTAAAATATGTGGCAAACTGGTGAATTTTTCCACTTTCTGTCTCAGACGGTATTCCCTCAACTCCCAGGGGAAGTAAGTAAATCATGCAGTGTCTTTTGTGGACCCATTAGCTGAAGAGCCCCGCATGTGCGTGGAAGGGAGACCAAACAAAGAGACGCTTTGAGGCTTCCCCTGGCTGCTTGCTTGTGTAAGAGGAGAACGTGCGTGAGCGTGTGGGTGTGCTCTCAGCCCACGGCTGCACTGCCCTCCCCGCACCCCGCTCTGTGAGCATGTGTGTGCACTTGTGCGCACGTGTGTGTGTGTGTGTGTACACGGAGGGCATATTTATAAGGCAACAGAGACTTGATGTGCACATGTGACCTATTTTAAGAAACACAATATTCCAAGATCTAGACTAAACAAATCAAATCGATTCAGACAAATTAAAAGGCAATTAATCACGTTTGAAATGGCTCTTCACCCTGTGGAAGAATTCAGGGTTGTTTTTATTGGTGCCCATTTCATTTTTAACAAATCATTAACCAGGAGAATCCAGGAACGAAGAGACTTTGTGATCTTTTCATAAAGCTTTTGCCAGTTAAAACTTATCGTAAATGGTCTTTGTCCCCCAGGCTCTAGGAATCTGTTGCAGCTAAACAACAAATTCTTTGAAGAAAACATTAGGGAGAATTTTCATGCCATCCAAATTGGTAATGATTTTTTTAGATACAACATTTAAAGAACAAGCAACCAATTAAAATAGAATACTTGCACATTATGTAAATTAATAATTTTGTAATTGAGGGATACTGTCAGGAAAGCAAAGAGATGGTGGAATATCTTGCAGTTAACATCTGTGGCAAGAACTGAAAATCCAGACTATGCAGTGAGTTATTAAGAAAAAAATTAAAATAATAAATGTCACATTCACTGTGGAAAACAATTTAGCAAACAAAAAAAAAAATCACTGTCCGACCTAGCTTTGTATTCAAAAGAATTGTAAGCAGTCATTCAAGCAGCTGTCTACGTGGTAGTGCTCATTTGAAACTGTAGCTAGAAGATGGAGACAGCCCAGCGTGTTCATCAGTATATGCACAGACAAGCAAAATGTGATATATGTATTTACATGTATACATTGGGGCACTATTTGGCCATAAAAAAGAATGGAAGTTTGATCTATGCAAGAATGTGGGCAGGTCTCGAAAACCCTCATGGTAGTAAAACAACCATAGCAGTTACCATCCCGCAGACATGAGGCCCTTGGAATAGGCATTTCACAGAAACAGAAAGGGTCCCTAAGGGGCTGGAGTAAAGAATGGGGAGTTATTTAATGGGTTAAATGTTCATGTTGAGACTGATGAAAACCTTTGGTATAGATAACAGTGGTGGGTGGCTAACCCACCAAAGGATTTAATGTCACTGAATGGTTACCACTTAGAAATGGTCAAAAAATAAGTATTATTTATGTTTTAACACAATAAAAAAATTAACCAAGAGAAGGTCAAATGTGATGCTATGACATACTCTTTCAAGTGACTAAAATTTCAAATGCTTTGCTGGCATGTATGGGAGAAAATGTGTGACTCACCCCTGCATTGCTTGTGAAAATGTAAAATGGAGAAACCATTTTGGTAAATAGTGTGACAGTCTGTTACAGAGTTCAGTCACCGTACAACATCCCAGGTCTATTCTTGAGTGTTGGCTCCAAACTAAGTGAAAACATAGGCGTTGGCCAGGTCTAATATGCAGATAGTCAGAACTGCTTTAATTGTAGGATTCAAAATCAGAAACCACCCAAAGGACCAGCCCAAATTGAATACTGAACACATGTCTTCCTCATTCTCTCTGTCTCCTTCCCTCCTTCTCCCTCTCTTTCCTTCTCACCACCCTCTCTTGGAATATACATTTCACCAAAAATGTATACAGATGCTAATAAACACATAGGTATTTATATGCAAATGTTTACATCATTACTCATAATAGACAAAAAGGGAGAAGAAACCCATATAGCCATCAACTCATGAATATGTGAATGATAAAATGATATATCCTTAAAATGAAATTGCAGGCCTAATTGAAAAGGAATTGATCATACTGCACCTCAAGCTGTAATGCTGCGGTGAGAGTTTGGAAAGTGGTTAAGAAACTGCTTGGCGGACTTGGCATTGTGTAGCAAGTTAAACCACCCCCTGCAATGCCGGCGTCCCATGTGGCCACTGCTTCACACCCTGGCTGTTTTACTTGGGGTGCAGCTCCTGGCCACAGTGCCTGAGAGTGCAGCAGAAGATGGCTCAAGGACTTGGGTCCCACCACCCACACGGGAGAGCTGAGGAGAGCTGCTTCTGGCTTTCATCTTGGCCCAGCTACAGCCATTGTGGCCATTTAGGGAGGGAACTAGTAGCTGAAAGATCTCTCCCTTCATCTTTCTCTCCCTATCTCTCTGTAACTCTTTCAAATAAAACAAACAAATCTTAAAAAGAAGCAGGATCAGCCACTTAGTCTACCTATATCTCCTTTGGGGATGTTTGTGTTTGAGTGCTGGCTCGGATTCTGATTCCAGCGTCTTGCTAATGTGCGCCCTGAGAAACAGCTGGTGATGCTTGCCACCTGCCGGGAAACCCTGGGTTCCTGGCTTCACTAAGTTGTACTTTTATAGTATGTAAATTTTGTGATATTTTGAAGTATCCCTTAAAAATAAAAATCTGCAGAGTTCACAGACATGGCGCCCATTTATTCACCTCTCAGGTAGAGACGTAGATGTAGTTGTAAGATGAATGTCGAAAAATGAATCTAAACCCTCAAAATACGTCATAGAATTTAAAGTTGTTAAAAATTCATAGAATCCCTGTGATAACAACAAAGAAAACAGAAGATGCACGAAGGAAAATGAGAAGAGAATCAAAGCAGAAATTCTGAAGCTGATGGTAAACAAAATAATTTACTCAGAATACTGTTAATGAAAAAGTGACTGCTTAAAACTTAAGAAATGTATTTGCAGCAAACTGATAAGATTAGGATGCAAAATATAGAAGTGACTTCTACAAGGCAGTAATGAAGAGTTTGGGAATGGTTAAGGAATATAACCAAGTCGTAACTGAAGAACCCTGCAGGAAGGACATCAAACAAGACTGCAGCATAGTAAGTCACAGGTCTTGTTCCTCCACAGACATCAACTTGACAGTGCATGACCCAAAGCTTTTATGAGAACTTCCACCAGGAGAGTCGTACTACCACAGGCCAACTCAAGTATAGATTTGTTGAAATCAGTGAACACCAAAAAACTTCCTTAACAATCACAATACCTTCCCCAAAGTTGGCATAGTTTAGCAAGATTGAGAGAAGAAAACTTCTTTCTTGGAAGAAGACGTAAGAGTAGAGTGTACATCCAGTGTTTCACCGTCTCAGGGGCTTTCTGCTTTGTCTGAATCTGTGCTGACACGGATCTGGCATGTTTTGCATGCCTAAGCACCATCAAGAACAAAAAGTTCAGTGTTTAATGCAGTATCAGATACTCTGCAAAACACCAGAGGGAACAAGCAATTACAGGCTTTTCAAGATTTTGTTTATGTTTATTGAAAAGGCAGGTCAGATTTACAAAGAGAAAAATCTTCCATCTACCAGTTCACTTCCCAAGTGGCCGCAATGGCCAGAGCTGAGCCAATATGAAGCCATGAGCTTCTTTCAGGTCTCCCATGCAGGTGCAGGGTCCCAAGGCTTTGGGCCGTCCTCCACTGCTTTCCCAGGCCACAGGCAGGAAGCTGGTGGGAAGCAGGACAGCTGGGACATGAACCGATGCCCATTATGAGATCCTGATCCTTACAAGGCAAGGATTTCACCACTGAGCCATCATGCTGTGCCCAAGAAACTATTAGCTTTTACAGAAACTGACAAAAAACTCTGGGAAATTACGTGCACAAATCTGAAAGAAGCTTGGAATGTTCAGCTGAACTAACTGCTGAAGTTCTTTCCTTGTGTGAAGCCTGTGCATAAAGACAGAGTGGTGACTTGTTAAATGCACCACAGCAGAGCTAACACCATCTGTAGTTCCAGTATCCCACGTGGGCACCAGTTTGAGTCCAGGCTGTTCCACTTTCTATCCAGTTCTCTGCTGGTGTGCCTGGGAAAGCAGCAAAGGGTGGCCCATGGCCTTGACCCCTGTACCCACCTGAGAAACTTGGAAGACGTGCCTAGTTTCTGGCTTCAGACCATCTTTGGGGTGAACCAATGAAGTGTTTTTTTTTCCTTTTTTGTCTTTCCTTCTTTCTCTGTAAATCTGCCTTCAAGTAAAAATAAATATTTTTTTTCATGCACAAAGCACAGCCAGAATAACATGACACATGAAGAAACAGTGAAGCAAGGCCTAAACAAAGAATCAAAGTAAGTTTCTAGAACCCAACCCCAGGGAAGTGGTGACTGGGGTGAACATTTGCCCTAGCAGTAAAGACTGAAGACTCCCACATCCCATCTTGGAGCACACAAGTTTCTTACTGGCTCCGTTCTCGACTATGGTTTCCCCCTAAGGCAGGCCCTGAGAAGCTGCAGTGATAGCTCAAAAGACTTTCAGTGCCATACAGGAAAACATCAATGAAATCAAGACAATAATGCAAAAATGAAATGAAAATATCAGTGAAGAGGTTGAAATTTTGAAAACCAAACAAATTGTATACCTCAGGAACAGGATAATGTTCAAAATCCACTCCTGGGGTTCAGCAGTAGTTTTGAAGCAGTGAAGAAAGAATCAGAAAATTGAAAGTATTTTAAAATGTCAAATCAGAAGCAGAAATTAAAACTAAGTAGAAAGAAGAGAAAGAAAAGAATTAAGAAAAATGAAGGAAGCCTAAAGGACTTGCGCAGCAACATCATACTATGGGAGCAAGGAAAAGA